TGGGGTATTTCACTATGCTCTTTGAACTAGGAACAGAATATGCAATATAATAAGGTTTCAACATATTGTATGTGGAGCAGAAAATTCTGGTTAAGTAATTCCATTATTGCTCCCTATGGCACAATTGGATGCAGAGAAATATTGAAAAAAAAAGCCATATAAAATTTTTCCACTGAATTTTGAGGTCTATATTAAAATGCACTTCTGCAAAAATCAGACCCAAGTTATAGTCCCTTACAGTCCCTGTTCTACTCAGTTGATTTCACTGAAGCAGAGTAGATTGGTATGCTGGTTCATTTGTTTTCTGATAATAAATACCCATTTGCCTTGAAGGTATAATTATGGATTAATGAGAAATATTCATCTTGAGTTGAGATTAAAAAATATTTTGTCAGAATAGATGTATCCACGATCCAAAAGTTAACTGGGCACATCATATCTCTAAGTTGGAAACAATAGCATAGAGCACATTTTTTGAAGAAATCAATAGCTATGTTGAGATGGATTTTCTCAGTGTCCTGGGTTTGTTGGTTGTAGCTCAAAAAGAATAAAGTAACCTACTTTATTTTCAAATCTTCCATCCCTTCTGTAAAAAGATGATCAGAGAAAGGGACAAGTGGAGAAGGCCCACGTTTTCCCTTCCACCCCAGCCAAATGGGACAGGGATCAGAGGCCTGTGAGCTTTCTGGGGAGCAAATTGTCCACTGGAAGGTGGACCTCGCTTCTCACTGCCAGTTACACACCTGCATCTGTAGTCTTGTGTCTTTTTGAAGAAAAAACGAATAAGATAAGGCAGAGAAGATAGAAAACAACACACACACACACACACACACACACACACACAACAGTAGAACAGCCCACATCTTCATGGCCCAGTTGATACTATTCCACACAAGGTGAGGAAACGCAACATTTGAAGTCTGTGGAGTTTCAATGTGAACTGAGGCTTGCCTCTAACACCACAGAGGATCTTCATGTCTCAACAAGACAGCCAACATTCGGCCATCTTCACAGGGCCAGTTACTCCAGAGATCTCCCACTGCCCAGGGAAACCAAGGCCAAGGTGGTGCGATTACAACTGCACCAGGAGTGGCTTGGCATTTGAGTGTGAACACGGTTTAAAAGAAAAAAGACTGGGGCTGGGAAGGTGGCTCAGTGGTAGGGCGCTTGCCTTGCATGCCAGAGGCCCTGGGTTCAATTCCTCAGCACCACATAAGCAAAAAGAAAAAAGCCGGAAGTGGCGCTGTGGCTCAAGTGGTAGAGCGCTAGCCTTGAGCTGAAGAGCTGAGAGACAGTGCCCAGGCCCAGAGTTCAGGCCCCACGACCGGACCCCCCCCAAAAAAAAAAGAAAAGAAAAAAGACTGACCGTGGCGTGGCTGAAAGCTGCAGTCTCGACGGGGGCTTGTAATTTACTGACTTGGTTAGAATTTTCTCCCCTTTTTCTCTTGTGCAATTTGCCCTCTCAGTTTCTTACACTGTCCTGCGTCTTCTGGATTTATCTCCCCACTACGACATTCATTTAGAGTTCATGATGAAAACAATAACAGATACCAGTTTACCACCAAAACGTTTCCCAAGGCTTTCTTCCCTATAATACTGGCTGCCTGAATTTTCTTTATTTGGGCAAAGTAGAGATATAACTCATCCTTTCAAATGTCAGGTCTATAAACATTTCACTTTTATATTCCCATTAGTTTATTTTTGTGTTAATCTGTTTACATTTACAGTGGAAAATTACTTTGAAAATCAATGTGGACCTAGATAGACCTGCCTAGGAAACAGGCTTTCCTAGTCAATTATCAGCCTGTACAATGCAGCAAAAAGGTCCGAAATTGCAAGGTTCTATATCGTTTCATGAGATGAGGTATAATCTTCATGGCTCAAAGTACTTGGCAAGTTTTTGGACAATTATTCCCACTGAATATTCATTTAATTGGTATGAACACATTTTAAATCTTCGTTAAGTAGATTAGCTTCCTATGCTGTCATTTTTGACTCCTCATGTTTTTTTTTGTTTTTGATGTCTTCTGTTTTGCCTAATTATAATGTCCAATTAGTGTACTATCATATCTATGAATACTTTAAAAAGTCATTGTTTCTTTTTGCTCCTCCTCTTAACAGCAAAACTCATCACGAGAAAGTTAATTTTTTAAACCTGATGAATAGTTTTGGTTAAGGAGAAGGGAATTGCAAATAACTGGAGAAGAAGCACATTTGTAACTGAGCGCACACGCGCGCGCGCGCGCACACACACGATTCTATTCATCTATGTTGGTATTAACTGAGCCCCTACTGTGTGTCAGACAGGATGCGACATCTAGTGGTCACCTTGCAAATGAAACATGATTCCTTCGTTCCTAGAGGTTGTTTCCCAGGGAAGCAGAGCCTCAATACTCAAGTACTGTCCTGTCAGTGAGATCTTCCTCAATCACCATTCCTCTCCCAAAGGAACCTGTGAACATGTGGTTCCCTCCTTGCTGTGATTCTCATCCCCCCACACACCCCAAAACATCCACAAACACAAATACCCACACGCAAAATACCCCCCCCACACAAGTTACTTCCTCCGTGTAGTGTTCATTACTGGATTTCCTTTCACTAGCAGCAACTTGAGAAGCAAGTGCGTCTGCTCATAACCTTCAGATCGCAGTTCTTTCTTGCCAGTTTGCAATCATGCAATACAAGTTGCATGAGCAGGAATGGGACATGGTCAACAGTATTTAATAGAACTGCTAGTTTCTAACTGATTTTTTCAATCAAAAGATCTATGAAGGGGGAAAACCTTGCATACTTACCCTTAGCAGAATGTGAAGATTCTCTCTTGCCTATTAAATAAATCACAAAGAATAGAAATCCTCAAGAAAGGACACTTCCTGGGGTGAAGAACACCAGTATGTACTAGCAAGACAAAAAGTAACAGATGGAATCGGATTTATCTGAACGGTCCTTTTCTGACCCTGCTCTATTACTCTCCTCTTCCAAGGAACCACCTCCAGTTCCCAACTCCGCTTCTGGAATTAGATTGTTCTCTCCATTAGCTGCTGAAACCCTTGAATGACACTTATTTGACCCCATGTTGACTTTTGGATCACACTCACACACTCAAAAAAAAAATCCCGGTAAAATGACAGCACCATCGTTTGGACATTTTCAGACACTCACGTGGCTTTTGATCTTCCCTGAGTGTCATCTAGCTAAATGGTTCCAGAGTTCACAACAAGATAACTTTGTGTTTGCGAAAGGGAACGTTTGTCCACCAGGAGAAATCACTCTTAGGAAGCAATGGTTAGAAGTAGCCACATGCAGTCAACAGGCCAAAGTGCCTTGTTTTATTTTATTTTTTCCTATTTCCCAAAATAGATTAGCTTGAGGAAAGAATGAAGAAAGAGTTTGTGAGCACTGAACTAACAGGCTAACTAGACAGATTGAGCAGGGTCCAAAATTCAGGTATGAAGAAGAAATAACCGAACCAACAATAACATTTAACCCTTACTAAGTGCCTTTTATGATCCTGATGTCTCTGAAATGATCTCTATCTTACATAATCAAATGTTCACTGTTATTTACAGAAAAGATGAAGGGTCTGCTGAGGACAGAGAGTTGAGATTTAGAGCGGGTGGTCAGGTTTCATCACTCAGCATTTTGACTCATTAATTGTACTTGTGAAGGAATAAAATTCAATAATAATAACATAACTGCAATAATAATAATAATAAAGTGCAATATGCTTAAAGTGTATTGTAACTGGCACTTTGGAGTTGTGTGTGTCAGTAATAATCCTTTAGATAACACTTGGAAGTGAAAGTGTCTTTTTAGAGTTCCAATATGATGTGCTGTTCTGTGCGTGTCTATTATCTATTGAAATGGTAATGAAATGGCTTTATTTTTATCTGTTTACAAATTGCTGCTCAGTGCACATGTCTTATCCTAATAAAATTCCTAAGTTTTGTCCAATCAATATTAGTTTATTGTCAATAACAGAGAAGGAGAACAATGCATATGTTCATTATAAGTTTCATATGAATTGAGTTTTCCTTATATTTCTAAAGCCACAGGATTAAGCAGGCCAAACCAGAAAGTTCTAGAACCAAAAAAAGTAAAAGAAAAAGAAGCTATACTTTTTGTGATGGGCTTATCTTCTTTTGGAAAAGTATTGCTGGGATCTCTTTTAGAGACATGTTTGGATGATAAGGCTGCGGTCACAAATCGTCATAGACAGTGGTTGTTTATAAACAAAAGAAATCTCAGGTCTAGAAATCTCAGGTCTGAGTTCTCATGGCCAGCTTCCAAGTAGCGTACTTCTGACTTCTGGTTTTATTCCCACAGAATATGATACAACCCACTAGTCATGAGTGGCCTAGATCCCCCACAGAGGCCCCCTACCCAGTATCAAAACTCAGAGGGGTGGGACTCACAAATACCGAATGCATTGTAGAGACCTTTCTACAATCAAAGTGGCTTTTCATGATGCAGTGTCTTTTCTTGGCTGCTACCCAAACAGAAGAAAGCCACGGCGTGAGGGAAATGGAACATGTTTTCTATGAAACCAAATTGTTGAACAGAAAAAGGGTGTCATTGAAAGTAACATCAAACACCCCCAGGACCCAGCAAATGCTAGTCACCTCACAGAAGCAGTAAGCAAGTACTGTGTGTGTGTGTGTGTGTGTGTGTGTGTTTGTGTATGTGTGTGTGTGTGTGTGTGTGTGGTGTCAGAGACTAGGAAGAACATGCTAGATCTCATTGTCCTGCGATCAGAGGAAATTCTTAGGGCTGAGCTGGATCTCCAATCAATCTATCAATCACATTTATAAGGCGTGTGTATTTCTCAAGCCTACCCAAGCACACTGTTCATCTGAGTGTGTCCAGTGTGTTCAGGGCCCCAGACTTGGCTGCTTGTTGGTTGGGGAGGCAGAGGGAGGGGGGGACACACCTGCCCATGACCACACTCACTGCGCTCTCCTGCGTGTGTGTGCGTGTATGCGTGTGTGCCCATGTTTCAGGGAAGGCCAGCAGTCACCAGAGCAGTGGCAGAAGATGTACGGCCGGTGCTCCGGGAACGAGGTCTACCACATTGTTTTGGAAGAAAGCACCTTCTTTGCGGAGTACGAAGGGAAGAGCTTCACCTACGCTTCCTTCCACGCGCACAAAAAGTACGTTTCTCCTCGCAGAGTGGAATTTGAATATTGGTCCTTTGGTCACACCATGTAGACTGGGTTTTGCAAAACCCAGATTAATGCTGATGGGTTTGAAGCAGACGACAGAGTTATTGTGATGTTTGAATTCCAGCCACTAAAAGTGAGGCTTGTCAGGAGAGAGTGACCATCAAGAGGAAAGGTTTACTGTTGTAACTTTGAAACTCTCATTATTTTTTTGGCTTGTCATCCACCTAGAAGTCACAATACACAAAAATTAGTTTCTTTTACTGAAAGAAAATTTAAATGATGGATTTAAGATTTTCTAAAGTAGTAAGTAATAACAATTTGAAAATAGTAGGAAAATAACTTTGGCCTTGGCCAGAGAAATGAGGTAGAAATAATTGATACTACATTTCAGTTCAAACAGGGATTTTTTTCCTTCCCATTAGAGAAAAACTATTTACTTAAGAAATAAAACTGCCTATCATGAAAACTATTTATCGTCTATATTAAAATGCACTAAAATAACCTATTTGTGGATTTGTAATAGAATATATTCCCTTTGTGCAATATATACTGTGCTCCATTTCTCATATTTTAGTACTTAAAATAGTTTTAGACTTGATTTACTCTAAACCATTATTAGTTACACATACTAACTAAAATAAATATACTCAGAGTAAATTGTATTTGGGATATAGTCCAGAAAAGTATATAAAAGTGTTTAAGTACTATATTACTTCCAAATGTTATTATACATTTTTATTAGATAAGTAGCTTGTAAAATTTTGAAGAAACTGAAGAATAGGGTCTATGCTTTTCACAGAAGTAAAGTTTTCATAAAAATCACAACCAATATTTTAACTTTACTATGTAACATAAAGTCTGTTGTTTTCTTTATTTTATCCTTTTTCATTTATATATGTAAATTTATATTAGTCAAATCAATCAGTTGTATTGATTTATAAGGACTTTTTTCCATATCTTATAAAAATGAGAATCTTAAGGTTTTCAGGCTTCTTAATTCTATGAAGAGTTTTCACCTTGTCCTGCTTCATGAAGGTTACTTGAAAAGAAAAGAGAAAAACCCAAGACCACTGCTAAAGTAAAATTCTTAAATATTCTGTCATCTCTCTCTGTCTCTCCCTCCCTCTCTCTGTCTCTCCCTCACTCTCTCTCTCTGTCTCTCTCCCTCTCCCTCTCTCTGTCTCTCTCTGTCTGTCTCTCTCTGTCTCTGTCTTTCTCTCTCTCTCTGTCTCATGATTTCTCTCTTATTTTCCCCCTATCTCTTCTCTCTTTTCCTAATTCAGGTTTGGTGTCTGCTTGATTGGGGTGAGGAGGGAAGACAACAAAAACATTTTACTAAATCCGGGTCCTCGATACATCATGAATGCCACGGACATATGCTTCTACATTAACATTACCAAAGAAGAGAATTCGGCCTTTAAGAACCAGGACCAGCAGAGAAAAAGCAACATCCCACGGTCGTTTTACCCGGGCGCCTCCAGACTCCCGGTTCACAGCATCATTGCCAGCATGGGTCAGTACCCCAGCCCCGAAGCTGGCCCAGGCCAAGGGGAGGAGGGACTCCATTTCATTAACAATGGAAAGACAAGTTGAAAACACATATGTGCATATTACAAGTAACACATATGTGTATACTACACATCGATAGATGTATATGTGCATACATATATGTGCATAATATATATTATACACGAGTATATATTATGCATTTGTATATTACATTATAGAATATATTGTGCTCACACACACATATATATAGATATACATAAATATATATACTCATATATATGCATTTGGTTGCAAAGGAAGATGTCACAGAAATAACCACTGTCGTTTTTCATTTGCGATTATATTTACATTGCCAGCCTTCGTATTTCTCTCATGAGTTTTCAGTCAAATGATGAGCAGACCCCACTGGTTATGTGATTGTCCTCCACTCTCTCTATCTACACTCTCACCCTCATTCTGTTCTTGGCTTCTCTGGGATGGGCAAGGAAAACATGGTCGAGTTTTGAAGATGCCTCGGACATTTTCCCATCTTTCCTCCAAAGAGTTGTCTTCAGTTCAAGGCATGAACGTTCACACTGCTCTTGTCTGGAGTAAGACGGTCGGTTCTTCCTTCTGTCTCCAGTCCTTTGCTTGACTACTTGGGCAAGAGTGGTTTATTGGAACACTTCAAGCACCTCCTCCCTCCGCAGACACACACGTCTTCCCGAGGGTCGCTCAGCTGCACGCTACACTCTTGACTTGTTTGCCTAACTCTTTAACCTAAACTTCTCCTCATGCCTCCAGTCTGGTCGCACTGCATTCATTCTCCATCTGAAACCAGACTAAACCATCCTTTTGACATCATTTTTTGATCATGTCATCCTCCTGAAAAGATCATTTTAACTACCTCCTATTACCCAGTGGGGAAAAATAAACCCTAAATGCCATTGTTATAAATGCTTAAAAATAGGATCCCTAAATCCCCTTATTTGCACAAAGCAATTACAGTTTTCCTAGAACATTTCCATTTTTAAACATAGTTAGGGTGTCATTGTTGAGATTACCCATTGTTCCCTCCTTCTGGAATGTCTTAGTTTAGAAGATAAATTACAAATTTCTACTGCTTGCACATTTTATCCATTAAACAACAACAACAACAAAAAAACATTTCCAGCCCTGCCATTTCCCCAATCATACTGAGTTCCTTTCACTCTTCACTTCCTTTAAAAATAACTGGATCTTATTCACACATAATATTTCTCTAACCTGGCCTAAGGAGCTGTATCTAATCCTTGCTGATTCTGTCTAAGTAGCACTCTGTCCAGGATGTGGCCCTGTATAGATTTTTTAAATATCTGCTTATAATTGACAAAGGGTGATGTTTTTATCCTGTGACAACACATTTTCTCCCTATATTCAAGAACTCTGGAAAAAAATGATGTGAACCATGGGCTTTCACAAGTACTTATGCTTTAAACAAAAAAAGGACTGAACAAAGACCTTCCTAGTTCCCTGGCCTTACTTTCTACCAAAGAGAAGAAAGACATGCAGCATTACTTGTAGAACTGTTAATTACTTAGCATAGTAACAAGTTAACAATTTAGCATATTAACAAGTTATTAGAATATTGGAAGGTGATAAGTAATAGGAAGGAAAGAAAATTGCTAGTAAGAGTGATTCTGAATGAAGAAGAACTGGATTTGGGGAAGCAGTTTGATTCGCATCAATTAATTGTACAAAGGGTTTCATTTTGATATTTGTGACATGTCCAGAACATACTTCCATCCACCTCACCCCATGCAGACAGCCCCTTCCGGTCCTCCTCCCTCCTCTCTCGGCCCCTCTCCCTCTCTCTCCCATTCTCTTCCCTGGTTTTGGACAGGTGACTGGGTCGTGATGGGTATTGGTAAGTCAGTGCAAGAATGGAGCAGAATGATCCCTCCATGTCAGCCCTGCGGACCCAGGCTTTCGTGGGGTCACTCTTGCTGCTGCTGAGAGTAGGAATCTTCAGGCAGAGGTCAGAGCATGTACAATTATCTTCAAGTAGTTGTGCGAAGGAGTGGGCATTTAACAAAGCCATTGGTCAGCAGGATGCATCTTGCTCAATGTTCCCCTTTTTTACATTCTCAAACATCTCTCCGACCCAGCCCTTCCTGTATTTTTGTTTTTCTTTCTTTCTTTTTTTTTTGCCAGTCACGGGGCCTGAACTCTGGGTCTGGGCACTGTCTCTCTTTACCACTGGAGCCACAGCATCACTTCCGGTTTTTTCTGTTTATGTGGTGCTGAGGAATCGAACCCAGGGCCTCATGCTTGCAAGGCAAGGGCTCTACCACTGAGCCACCTTCCCGGCCCCCTTTATTTTTCTTAATTTTGCAGTAGATGCAATGCATTCTTGACTGCTCCCTCCCCCCCCCAGGCCACATGTCCTTTACATCCATCTCCCCCTCCCTCTTGGCTCCACATCCCCTCCTGTCTTGCAAGTGCCTGCTTTCTGGTATTTATTGTGTTAGGCTTTATGTTGTCTTTCAAAGGAATTAGACCATTTGAGCTCTCCCTAGAGCCTACCGCATTTCAGTTCATACATTAGTAACCACTTCCATTTCACCCAGCGTGTTTTCTTGCAGATTTACAGGCTCATTCTAGCTAACACAAATGAGGGAAACCACGCATCCTTTGTCTCTCTCGATCTGGCTTACTTCACTTAATAGATTTTTTTCCAAGTCTTTCCATTTCAAAGCATTTTTAAGAGGAAGTGGTAAGATGGAGAAAATTCTGGGTATGTCTCAAAAGCAGGAGGATTCATCAGATTCCATTAACACACTGGAAACGGAACCATAAGAAAACCAAGAGTCTGAAGAAGCCCCTGATTTTTGCTTAGGCAATTAGAAAGGAAGATGGCAATGAAGTGGTCTGGAGAAGGCCATAGACAGGCAGGTCTGCGTAAGGCAGGGGATAAAGATTTACTTTGGAGCATAAAAAAGCAGGGGCCTCAGGAGGGCAGTGCAGGCTGGACAGAGAAAACGCTGAAACCAGGCACAAGGCTCTACCTTGAAATCCTAGCTACTTTGGAGGCTGAAAGCCAGAGGATCTGTTTAAGGCTAGCCCAAATAGAATCATTAGCTAGAGTTTATCTCCAAAATAGTCAGGAAAAAGCTGGAGGTGTGTGGCTCAGGTGGTAGAGTATCAGCCCAGTCAGCATGAGGCTCTGAATTCAAACACTTTAGACCACTAAAGAGAGAAGTCTCTTCTGGATTCCTGAACACACACACACACACACACACACACACACAAACTTTCAAGGTTTTGAGAGTAGAAAAGACTGAAGAAATGAATATGGACAGAGAAAGAAGCCAAGATCACATCTCTACAGAAAATCTGTGTTATGTACCATGGAGCTGAGAAGAAAACAGGAAGGGAAGGTGAGGGAGGAGATGGTGGGGAAATCAGGAAGGAGGAGGAGGAACGAGATGGTGGACAAATCAGGAAGGAGGAGAGGGAAGAGATGGTGGGGAAATCAGGAAGGAGGAGGAGGAAGGAGATGGTGGGGAAATCAGGAAGGAGGAGGGGGAAGGAGGGACAGAGCACACTAGAACATCAAAGAACCAACCCCATCAAGACAGCTGCTTGATGCTAACGTGAATGAATGTTGATTTTTTCTCCTGTCAGGACTCAGCTGAGCCACACAACGCTGATTGTGTACTTTGGTCAGAGTTCTCCCAGTTGAGTGGTGGAGGGTCCCAGAGAGGTGTGGATTTTGGAAGCAATGACAGGAGACAAATTACATACACTCTGTCTAAGCAACTTTTAAAGCTCTTTTCTTTTCCACAAAGAGGAACTAAGGTGTCACAGATACAACGCTGGGTGCATGTCACGGACTGTGATCATATAGCCATCAGCTGGCTGTGGAGGTGGTCAGTGCCTTCCTTGATGGCTTCTCCCGTTTCTTGGCACCAGGTACGGTGGCAATAGATTTGCAAGACACGAGCTGTAGATCAGCAAGCGGGCCCACCCTGTCCCTCCCTGCCGAAGGAAGTAAGGAGCTGAGGAGACCCAGCATCGCTCCTGTGTTGGAGGTGGCAGACACGTCATCCATCCAAACCTGCGATCTCCTGAGCGATCAGTCAGAAGATGAAGCTACCCCTGATGAAGACATGTCGTCAAACTTGGAGTATGTTGACATAAGCTCAGCTGTAAGCTTGCTTGCTTTTGTGTGATCTGTGCGGTCAGTATGGCCTTTTGGTTCATGACCAATTCAGTGAGGGGGTAAATGTTCCTACTTCCCGGCATTCTAGAATCATTCCTGCATAGCTGGTCCAAAGCAGCCTTCTATGACTCACTGTCTCAACTACCGAGCGTTCTAAGCCCTCTCTCACACACACTCACACAAACACACACACACGTTTGTGTATTATACATACACACTCATATTAGTTTTCTCAAAATTCTCTTTGTGCTTAAGTGAGTAAAAGATCCAGATTTGTTTTTCTGTAACACAAGCTGCAACTTCACGCCTGCATTTGATTATGTCATACCTTGTACCATTGGATGGTGTTATTTTGCATCCATACTGATGGACCCTCAATCACTTGATGGCCGTTGTGGACAGCATCCAGTGAGCTGTCTTTACTTCTCTCATTCAGTAGTTAACCTTTTCATTCAGCATGAAGCCGCCATGTTTCAAATTCACGAATAGAGAAAGGGCTCTCTCCCTTTTCTAAGCATCTATACAGGAGGTGCCTACCTCTGTCGAGTAGTGGTTACAGCTTAGTCTGTTGTGCAGTCGTGTTCCACCTGGTATGTTGCCATGACAAAATCCCCTGCCCCAAAAATGAGCCCGTGGAAGCCGGAGGACCTGGTCAAGCCAACTCTTCTTGCCCCTACTTTTTGGGTCTGGTCGTGGGGCCTGAACTCTGGGCCTGGGCGCTGTCCCTCAGCTTTTCAGCTCAAGGCTAGCGTTCTACCACTTGAGCCACAGCGCCACTTCTGGCTTTTTTTTCTTTTTGCTTATGTGGTGCTGAGGAATTAAACGAAGGGCCTCATGCATGCAAGGCAAGCGCTCTACCACTGAGCCACCTTCCCAGCCCTGCCCCTACTTTTTGTACACAAGTGGCAGATGAATGCTTCTGTAGAGTGAGTGATTTTAATGGCTGTGAGCGGCACATTGGTTCTAGTGATGTAAGCAATGTCATCTCTATCTCCCTCCCAATATCATTCATATAAATTTAATGAATGTTCGATCTATTTTAAATAAACCAAAATGCTATGGGAATTTAGTAAAATCCTACTCTCCCCCCTCCCCCCAATCCTTTCTAATTCCTCACATTTAGAACCATAGAAGCATCTAGGAAGCACAAACAAAAATAAAACTAATGGTCCCTGTGAACACGAAGGTCAGGGGAAAGGGTATCTTTGCAGGAAATGGTGTTTCAAATTAGGATAGACATTTTTAAAAATGAGTGCTTCCAAACATTGGAGCAGTGGAAAGGTTTTATTCAAGAAAACTGCAGGTGATCTTGATGTAACAGAATTCTCTCTCTCTCTCTGGGCTCTCAGTCTCTGAGTCTGTAAAACAGATCACTGGAGTCTGTGATTCATGGTTTTGTAGGTAAATTGATTAAAATCAAGAGCCTCTGTTTTTTTTCTTAATTGCCACTGATGTTGCCCACTTTTAAAAGTTCCACTTTCAGCCAAAATGTGCAGGTGGCATTTTTTTTACAAGTCAGCAAACAAATGAAATGTCTTTGATATTATTTCAAGTTTGATTCCAGAAAGAAACCTATGTTTAAAGTAATTAAGGCAATTGTCTCTCCCCCCCGCCCCCATGGTCAACTAAGTATTTTTAGCTAATGAATATTGATGGAATGACTCATAATGACGTGTTTTGCTTTAAATATGTCTCACCAAAGTATCAATATTTATTAAAGTGTATCTCTACATGTTCTAAAATGGAAGCTGGCTTAGAAATGTTTTCTAGAAAGAACTCTTAAATATCTATTGATTCATGATCTCTGTTGATGCAGTAATAATTTATAAAGGAATGATAATGGCTAGTTTTCAATAAAGTGGAACTTTGAGCTTCATAGAATTTCCACATGATAGGAAATACAATTCTTGTAGCTGTTTTTGGTGGTTTTGAGATTTGAACTCAGAGCCCTATGCTTACTAGGCTGGTACTCTATTACTGAGCCAGGTCTCCAGCTCTTATTTTATCTTTGACCTATGTTTTAATAGCTTTTTATTTCTCTCAATCATTTAAAATGAAAAAAAATCTACTGTCAACAATCAGCATCTTACAGTGGGCCAGATTTGATTTGTCTACTTGCGTCCTAAACTGCTTTTCAAAGCACAATGTAGTATCTGAAGAGTGACCAATACTAACCTATCAAAACAGGAGAACATGGTGATAACCTAATGTTCCAAACTTGCAGGAGTTACCCAGGAGCAATATGTCATGCTGTTTTGCAGGTATGCTAAAGGTTACCCCCCTTACTCCCCGTACATCGGAAGTTCACCTACCTTTTGTCACCTCCTTCATGAGAAAGTGCCATTTTGCTGCTTACGACTAGATAAGGTAAGCATCCACTCTCCTTGGTTTTTCCCTCCAAGAGGGAATTACATATTATACACCTCCTAGAGCCTCAACTATATCACTAGCTCCAGGCAGGGACTTCTTTATTACAAATTATGGGATGGGCACTAAGATCCTATTGCTTGATTCATAAGAAATGCAACTTGGCCAGTCATCTGCACTCAAACGTTTTCTTTAATTTTAACAACATGAATTTCAAAGAACATTTTTGTATGGCTCTGTACACTAGTAGGTGATAAATGCCTGAACTACATGCTTTAAGTTAAAGTCCTTGATAAATTAAGGGACCTAATAACTGACTAGGTGCAATTCACTTTATTCAACGTTTAGTTGTCTATTCACGTAAAAAAGCATTATAAATTTCAGCTATTACTGATGTTGTAGAGAAAGATGAAGTGGGCACTGAACATTTCCAGTCTTTATTTCTGTAGAATTGCTTGGTAGATCTTTGACATTGCTTCTAAATATTTTCATCGAACCATTAAGAGAGGTAATTTTCTCCCTCTCTCCCTCCCTCCTTCCTTCCCGCCCTCTCTCTCTTTCTCTCTCTGTCTCTGTCTCTCAAAGCTTTATTATCTTGTAGTCTTTAATTTTTGACATATTTGACATTTGTGCCCAACTGTGTACAACTTTGGGTCACGTTCAGATATGCTCATTTTTAAGGTTACTCACCTGCAGAGTCTTTCTGTGCTTTTATTATACCACTATTTTTAAAAAATTAAATAGTATAAATGCAGTTACATAAACTACTTGTGGTTCTTTTCCTCAGAAAGATTTCTAAATTAATCCACATTTTAAGAACCTCAAAATCTAGACTTACATCTGCACTGTTCATTTCTTTGTAATGTGTGTGTGTGTGTGTGTGTGTGTGTGTGTGTGTATAGTATCAGGAGAGCAATGAGTGGAAATTTTTTATCTCCAAGCCAGGAACCTGATCTCACTGGAAGGCTGTGTACCGGTGAGAATTGCCGGGATGCAGTAGAGGCTCAAAGTCAGAGGACTGTTAGCTGTCTTTACCATGCTAATACATCCCCTTTCTCAGTGTTGCTGATTGGTTGGAGAAGCCTGGTGTTTGGGGCTATTTAGGGAGCAAAGGCTGGTAGGAAGTGGTTAGCTAGGTAAACCAGTGGCCACTTTGGGATTGTGGGCTGGGATTACACAGGTAACCCTCGAGTCTGTGCAGTGTGTGAGTTGGGGTCCCGCTGAGACAGTCCACCGTGTTCCAGGCAATTTGTTGGGATAAACTCCCATTTCTCTATGATCCCCTTGGGTTTTCCTTCTTAGTGAAGCGAATGCTTCATCTTCACAGATTTTCAAGATGGGATTGACCTGGCGTCTACCCATCTTTCTCCTTCCCTTACGGCTTTCCACTTTCTGAGTGACCATAATTATCTTTGTGACTTCAGACTGTATGCACATGAACGGCCTTCCAGATGCCTGACAATGGAGGCGAGCTGATTTGTTCTTAGCCGTTTCTTTGGCCTTTCACTCTTTCTTGGGCTTTACTTTTTTCTGAATGTATGTTCATGTTGGCCATTGCTAATAAGACTTTCTTGTTGGGAAATGTTTCCAATCATACTTTCCCAACTAATACTCCTTTACTCTGTGATTATTCTTGAAAGACAGTTTTCCTTGGTGCCTAACCCCAGACTAGGATGGTTCTTTTCCTTCCCTCTCCTTCTTTTCCTTCTTTCCCTTTCATTTTTCCTTCCCTCTCATCCCCAATTCCTCCCTTCCTTGTGCTCCTTTTTTCTTCCTTTTTTAAAAAAATTTATTTATCTCGCTCTCTCTCTCTTTTTTTTTTTTTAGCACTTTCTGGTCTTTATTTAATGCCATTTTGCATACTTTTACTGCTGAAAAACAACCTTATTTGTAATTTTTGTTCCCTGCAAGTAGTTCTCTTTTCCTGTTGGTGCTGTTAGATTTTCTTGTCATCTTGGCTGAGCTATACTTTCCTTATCATATGCATAGCTGGACATTCTTTTTAGTTATTTGGGTTGATAGTCATTGGCTTTCTTCAAGATTTGGGTTTCTTTTCTGCTTGAAGAATAATCTATCAATATCTGATTGGATAAACTTTGGGATTCTTGTGATTTTTCAGTTATTCTCCTATATATATATATATATATATATATATATATATATATAGGAGAGTTCATGCTATCATTAATACTTTCTAATTTTTCTATCTTAGCCTTTTTTTTTCTCCTCTTTCTTGAATTTTAGGTGATGTCTTCAATTCTGTTTCAAAGTTAATCCCTTCAGTTACATTCTTTATGGAACTTAAATTATCCTTTGACTTCACTGTTGAGTTTGAGAAGATACATAGAAATAGGTATTACCTAGTTTCAACCTTTTGCTTGGCTGTTGTGAAAGATCTCTCTCCTTTGTTCCTAGTTTGCTTTCTTTCATCTCCTAAGTATATTTAACACTTTTTACCTCCTGACTGTAATAGCAGCAGTGTCTGTGGTGTTTGTGACAATGGTGATCTTGTCTATTGCATCTGTTTTACTTATGGTGTCTGGCTCACGCCAGTGTTTTATAATTTTTTTTTATTAAGAAAGGATACCAAACATTTATTCTAAAATTGATGAATCTACACAAGACTAACTAATCTCAACCCAAGTAAATAAAAAGAAATCCTTGTAGAGATATATCTGGGCGAAAGAACGGGTAGCAAGCAGCTCTCCACGTTTAAGAGTAGTTTGGGTTTAGCAATATTAATTAATTCCAGCAAAGCTTAAACTCTCAGGAAATAACAAAAGTCTGTTTTCAAGCTAAGTTTTCTCAGGCCAGCAATGGATTTTGGTAATGCGTTGTTCTTGTTATTATTTTTATTATTATTAGTTTTCTTTTGAGTACTTACCTTATTACCCATGTAGACCAGGTTTCTTTGTGGGATTGCTTTCTGTTTTATTTTGTTTTAGGTATGCAGTATTGGGAATGTTGCTGAGGCTACTTAGTTCTAGTCCTCGCTATATCTAGAAATTGAAGACATAGTAGATAATTGCTAATGCACATGTCATCTTGTGGTAAGTGGTAGCTTCCTATGCATTGACAGTGTAGACTTTCTCAGCATTGAACTGTATATTCAGAATTCATTTTCCCCTACATGCAAGCTTTAATTCCTACCCAGAGCCCAGTCAGATGTAACTGCTGTCAAATTTGTGAGAACGTTAAATCAGGTTGATTTTACATTGTCATATATGCTAATGTTTTCCACCAAATTATATTGAAATACAAAATGGCCTTTCTTTGTATAATTTTTCTTCTCAGAGTTGCCAGCATAACTACTATGAAGATGCAAAAGCTTATGGATTCAAAAATAAGCTAATTATAGTTGCAGCTGAAACAGCTGGGAACGGATTGTATAATTTTATTGTACCTCTCAGGGCATATTATAGACCAAAGAGAGAACTTAATCCCATAGTACTGCTGTTGGATAACCCGTAAGTATGTCTTAAAGTATGCAAACCAGACAGAGTTTTGATATTATTTTATGTACATAGAAATAATTGACTTTAATTTGCTTAGAGTATTTTAAATCAGATACATTATGGTACACAACTCATTGGGAGATAAATTCTGTGCAATGATTTAAAAACTGTCATTGAGTATGGCTGTGTTTGGTAAATAGTACTTAAAACACCACTGGAATATTCTGAGAATTTTATTTAACATTATTATACAAGTTGAGATTTATTTATTCTGCCATGGGAAAGAGATACTTGAAATAATCATTTCCATTTTACTAAATTAATCAAACTAACATGAAAAGAATCTCTTCCCAAACAGGACAATTTTGTTGACTACCATTAAATATCAGAGAAGCATTTATTGATCCATATTTATCTGTTATATCATAAAACATGGTCTTACAGTCTCACTGCATTACTGCTAAAATGTTTGGTTTTATAACATAGTCCAGATAATGTTTGTGTCAAACTGTTGGATAAGGTTAAAGTCTAAGATTCAGAAAATACTCCCACAAATACAAATGTGTCATAGAATACAATAGTCAAAACCATTATATTCTGAAATTACAATGACTTTTCCTATGACTAGAAACTGATAGTGGGTGGTCCCCCCCCCATCCTTCACTTATTACAAAGTGATACAAATGTCAGGGTGAATTAAATGATATCAAATTACATTATATCTGGCTTCTTAAAATAAAAGTTTCTCCAAAGAGCCTTCCCCCCATATATAGTCCCTTCACAATACCTTTCTCAATAGACCAAAATTTAAAGACTTACCCATGTATCGAATCTCTTTTGTTTTTTTAAACACTCTCCACAATGGTAACTAAAACCTTACCGAACTGTCAGTGGAAGAATTCTCAGCCATCGGGATCCTCTTGGTGGCAAGGGAAGTGTGGAGCTAGTTAGGGTAGGCATGACAGCACCCAGAGTTGAACCCATTCTCAGAAGAAATCCAAGCATCTTAAAGCAAACCCCAGGAGAGCAGCAGTGCCTGGGCAGTGTGAGCTAGCCTGGGTGCTAGAGCAGTGTTCCAGCCCCTCCCAGCTCTTTGGAACACAGCCTCACGGTGAATCTTTTCTGAGGGCTCCAAGGTTGCAAGGGCGTAGCTCAACTGGCAACAACAGAGCGCTTAAACTATGCCAACTCAAATCTGAGATCTTGGCATCTGTGTGTGTGAGTGTGCACGGCATCTCCACCCACAAGGGGCATGGATATCTGCAAACTGTCTTGGAGTAGCTCCACCGTGGATGATGTGAATCAAGGCGCATCAGGAGAAAAGACAGGCTGAGGCCTGGGAGGAAAGGAGCTGTGTTGACAGCGTTTTCTCTGGCAGGGCTAAGGCCCACGCTGTCCTTTCCTCTTCTTCATCTTACTTCAAGATAAGGTTGCGTGTCCTGACGTGTAGCTGTAGAACTGGGTCTGCACAATTGTGGGAGCATGGTTCTCTCCAGAGGCCTCCGTTTCAATCTTTAATCTCCCCAATGAGTCTGATCTCGATTGAGAGTCTGTCCTTCCTCATTCTACCTCATATTATTATTAACTCCTGGTAACAGCATTAAAAGAAGTTCCAGTAGCTGTGCTCTGTAGACTATTTCTGTTTGGTTTTACATAATGGCTTCACCAGAATGTCTGATTCTTGAATGATGAGTTTGTACACTAGGATCAGGTGGGTGGTTGTGCAGTGTAATTCCTGAATTTGCACAACCACAAGGAAACCTGAAAACTTCTCTTGATGACTGACAAACTGGACCATTCTATCACACACACACACACACACACACACACACACACACACACTATTCTTATCCAAGACTACTTCATTTGAGTGTGACCATAAAGATCACGTAATAAAGTTAACATTATTTAACCTGTTTACAAGTGGAAAGCCATTGAGCATTCCTATTCATTGTCAAAGAGCAGCTGTTTTGCCATTATTTTACATTTTAACTAGAACTAGGTTCTCATAGGTTTACAATCTTGAAGAGGACAGTGCAAAGCTGAGTGACTCTGATGCATTGTCTTTCTTTATAAGTGGTGTAAAACTAAAAAGGCACAGGACATCCAAACACATCTGTCAAGGTCACCGCCTTCTATGCAGTTCCTAGGTCATTGGCCTTTCTGCTGTAGGAGCTTACTTATAAGTCTTCGATATGGCAAAGGCTATTTATTGTCAGTTATTTTTGGAGGCAAGAATATATATTAATTTCAGCTGATTTTTCACTCCTCATTCCAGTAGCCTTTGTCACGGTTCACAATTTAGAATCTAATTGTTTGCATGATATTTAACATAACAGAAATAAAAACTGACATCATAATATGGAATTTTTAATGGTAATTAAATTTATACTATTCACAAATATGTGTGTATGATGAAATAAACATTCACAGTCCAAATGATAATGAAATAAAACGCAGTCTTATTGGAAAATATCTTTTACTTGTTTAGAACACTTGTAGAACACTTTTCACATTTCACTTAAAACTGGACACACACAAAAATATAAGATCCAAGCTTACACTACTAACTTTGAACTCACATGTGGCTTATTCAGCCGATCTGTGAAGTCTGTCAAGAAAACTTCAGCTTATTTAAAAACTAATGGTAAGATAGCTTGTATACCAATGCCCTTCTTAGAGAAATTCAAGCAGCCTCACACAGATCTGAAATACTACATAGGATTACCCACCTCTCAACAGGCCTGTTGCAGGACATTGAACCTCTGTGGTCAGTTTGGACTTTTTTTTGGTCGGTCGTGGGGCTTGAACTCTGGGCCTGGGCACTGTCCCTCAGCTCTTCAGCTCAAGGCGAGCACTCTACCTCTTGAGCCACAGCACCACTTCCAGTTTTCTAGTGGTTTATTGGAGATCAGAGTCTCATGGACTTTTCTGCCTGGCTGGCTTTGAATCGTGATCCTCAGATCTCAGCCTCCTGAGTAGCTAGAATTACAGGCGTGAGCCACCGGTGCCTGGCTAGTTTGGACTTTTGATATGTGAAATGGTTAGAACTCTTCCCGAGTTATTATGAGACTAAAAATAGTACATAAAATACTAGCACAAGATCTGGGCTAGTTTGCTTCCAAACAACAATGTGTCACTGTGCAAATATACAGAAAGTCTCATGTGAAAACCCAGTGGGAAAAAACTCCAGGCAGCAATGTGGCTCAGTGTAGACTCTGCTAGCCTAGCATGTGGGGCCTTGGGTTCAAGTCCCAGTATTGAAAGAAAAGAAGGAAGGAAGGAAGGAAGGAAGGAAGGAAGGAGGGAAGGAAGGAAGGTAGAAAGGGAGGGAGGAAGGAAAGAGGGCAAGGAAGGAAGAAGAAATATATTTTAAATAGCTGCAATTAAACTTTAATAGCTTATGAAAACCTAAACCCCTTAAAAGTACAAATATGAAATACTGACAAAATGAACTGCTCATAAAAGAATATTACACTTGATCTTGAAATTCACACACTGAATTATTAAGATTATGAGTTTGATAGTGAGTTATTCTGCTCCTGGTGCTCACTACGTATTTAATATTTACAACAGTGTCCATTTTTATTATGAGAGACTTAATAAGGATATGAAGCTTCAGACTCATAAAAAGTTATACTTCTTTGTAGAATTACACTTAGGGCTAGTTAATGAATGTGCTCATTTTCTTCTGTTTACTGATTCTGTATGCTTGTAGAGTTTTAATTTCATTTATCACTAATTGTGGTTTGTTTAGCTTTGTTTAGGTTTGTAAATTTCTTTCTTTCCCTGCCTTGTTTATCTTTCCCTTATAGATTTCAAAATATTTCTTTATTTTATTCTTGTCAGTCCTGGGGCTTGAACTCAGGGCCTGAGAGCTGTCCCTGAGTTCTTTCACTCAAGGCTAGTGCTCTACTTACTACTTTGAGCCACAGCACCACTTCAGTTTTTCTGGTGGTTACTGGGAGAAGAGTTTCATGCACTTTCCTATCTGGACTGTTTCCTGAGTCGCTGGGATTACAGGCATCAGCACTGGCACTTGGTTTTATAAACAACAATTTTTGAAACTTGTTTCTTAGAGGTTGAAGGTTTTGTGGTGCTCTTTAATTAAAACTGCCAATCACTCAAGCTGTCCCTCACTTTGAAAAGTTTTCCTTAACATGACTTCTTATACTATAGACAGGCATCCTCTCTGTAGCAGAAAAATACCCTATGTGCATTTTATTGTCTTATAGTTTATAGTTCTTTTTCCTAGATTCAACTTTTCACCTGTATGTTAGAGATGTAACACAAAGAGCCATCTCTTGCATTTTGTGACTGTTTTGTGTATCTGTTTAGCATTTCTCAAAAACAATGCTTTTCAATAGCAAGGTTATATTTATCAATCAACTATCTCCCAATGACTGAAAAGATTAGTTTATTAACCAATGTTCTAATTAGTTTTACTCAATTCTGAAGCAGGTTGTGTCATAAACACTGTGGTCAGTTTATTTAAGTAAGCTGATGCAGTACATGGGAATGTAAAATGGACAAGTTCATTACATGTCAGGTGTATATTTGAATCATTTTTTCAGTAGCAGTTGTTTATTTTAGCAGTAGGGCCTCCTGTTTGCAGGGCAAGATCCTTACCACTCCAACCACACCCATGTCCACTGTTCTATCTAAAACTACATCCTAAACGTGACTGTAATGACCACTGGTGCAGAGTAAAAATAACTTATAAGCTAAATGATTGACAATTTACAAAATTAATTGGGATACATTTAATAGATGAAATATAGTGGGCCTTTTAAGTGACTGCAAAGGAATTTATTGTGGAATCCATTTGGTGAAAATCAGAAAAATACTCTTCATTGAAAGATGACATTTTAGGCATCACTCGCTGTGTGCAGTTTCATTTTTTTTCTTGGAGTACAAGGGGATAGGGGACAATCTCTCGGCAGAAAATAGGCGGGGAGGCCAGAATTGGTCTAGTCGGAGCTCAGCGTGTGGGAAATGGCAGGTGCTTTGATTCCCTCTGCACTAGTTCTCACTCTTTAGCTCCCAGCTAAGTATTGCCTCTGCACTATTTTCCGATCTTGCCTTCTCCATGCAACATACTATTTTTTTTAGATTAAGAATATAATTCATTTTGTCTTTTTGTATGTGCATTTAAAAAATCGAAGTCAATCTGTTATTCTTTTGTAAATACACATGAAGTAGAAGGTTGGGATACATACATGCTGGATAACTACATAAGTGGATAAATTAATCCTTGTAAAAGAAATGATAATATATTGATTGATTTCAGGTTCATGGTCCTTCCCTCAAATATATATGTTTTATTTATATATATATATTACAGGGATAATAAATGGTGCTCAATGCTGTATATTGAATATACCAATAAAGGTGAAATACTTTTATTGTACTAGTCCATATTTTGTATGGGATATAGTGTTTCTTTATTTGACATGTTGTAATTAGATCTTCCCTAGACAAATATCTCGGAAGAGACACCTTAACACAGGCATTAGGATAAAACTTAGATTCTTCCTTTCCAAGGCCTCTTCTGCAGGAACAGCTTTACAGTTTATGGAGTTGGTGTTTTAGTCCTCATCAAGAGTACTAATCCAGTACCTTTTGTACAATCGTACCATAATGTTTCTGACTTAGAAAAGCTGAGTGCTGGTGTTTGGCCGTTCTGAGCGCACAGTGCAGTTTGCACAGCCAGAGCAAACGTCAACTTCTAATTAATGTTAAGGGGGTAAAAAAAAAAAAAGACAGACTCTTGTCAGCAACGTTGAGTTTTGGAAATGCAAACTAAGTGAACTTGCCTCCTTTCTCTAGAAGTGCTGCCCCTGTTGTGACATTGTGTTTCATTTTGTAACCCGTCTGCCACTTAGGCCAGATGTGCACTTTCTGGATGCCATCTGTTGGTTTCCAATGGTTTACTACATGGTGGGCTCTATTGACAAGTAGGTGACTAAGTCCTTGGCGTTTCGCTGTGTGGTGTCCTGTGGTGGCCTGTGCATGGTGCGTGTGGGTCTGTCTCTACCGCAGACATGATGCATCGTGCATGCGCAGCTTATGTCCTTGCACTACTCAGCTGATAGTCAGCTTCCTGAGCAGTCATCCATTGTGGACTTCAAACAATCCTGTTGCATGCTGATCTTGTCCGTGTGCAAGGCTACTTCCATTCTATGTCTTCTACTGAATTCATATTAGTTTATGACTGTTATTATTGCAGTTTTTAAAATGACAGGAAAATACCCCTAAGATCTCTTTAACAGTGATTTCTTTAACAAAACCTGTGAGACTCTTTAAGATACTTGAGAAGCATTCACTGACTTGGAGCTATAAATAGCAACACCTTAAAAATTTATTCTAGCCAGATATCAGAATTGATGATATGTAAAGTGTTTGTTTACAAGAAGTCTTGTATGTGTAATGCATTAACACAAAATTGGATGTGTTTATGCCTCACCAAGACAATAAATACGGAAAAAATTCAAAAAGTTAGTGGTGAGAAAAAGAAGTAAAATATGTTAGTCACACCTTTGAACTAAAATATGTCAAATGACCAGTTGAGAATATTAGTGCTTAGGTTTCACCCTCCAGATGTTGAACAGCTCCTTAAAATTATTTAATGGCTGGGGATAAAAGAAAGATCAAACATACCAAAATGTATTAATAATCCCTAGTATATATATGAAAAGGTTATTAGTTATTATTAAAGTATCATTAGTTATATTGTGAGTTATATATAATAATAACCAACTAAAATACAGTTAGCATTACTTTAATCCTACATGATTATAACATAATTGGTAGTGCTTTTAAATGATCGTTCTATTAAAAATTCATCAGAAAAACTGTGAGAGATAAAGTTAAGGATAAAACTCCCACATGCCTTTTCTGATATAAACTATGAATATTTAGAGTGTTTATCTTAAGGAAAAAAGACCTGAGAAGGTTCCGTTTCTAGGGCTGGAGATGAAAGAATGGAGTATAATCTGAGGATTGTTGAAACAGGCTGCCCGGAAGGTGGATTTTCACCTTGGAGTTTTATTTTGCTTATTTTTGACTCCTCTGACTAAAGTTCAGCTTGTAGATGTCACCTTCTAGCTCCTGGAAAAAGGAGTCAAAGTAAGAGGCAAAAAGATGTTGATTAGATGAACTTAAAAACAACAAACTTAAAAAAAAAAACAACAGACCGACTTGAGTCGGCTGCCACCTGGTGGCAGATCAGCCACTGAAAATCATGATGATGCTGGAGGCAAATCATGCCTGGGATGAAACTACCAGAGCTCGGTAGCCTACTCTGGAAAAGGAAGAAAGAACTCCATGAGAGAGTAAATGAATAGAAAAGAATAGTGTCATCTTGTTATGAAGAACAAAGATTCCATGGGGTTCAGGATTATCATTTGAAAGTTACGCATGCCCTGTAGATTTAAGCTCATACTTAATGGTGATTGTGAAGTCCTTTACCTTAATTAGGAGTAATTAAACCATCCAAAAAATTGAGGATGGAGTTAACTGATGCATGTGGATATTGGGAGCTGTTACAAATTTAACAGAAGTAACTCCCAAGAGTGATTTCTTTTTGTCAAGTATCAACTTCAGCTTAGTTAAATGATTGCTGATTCAACATTCATCTTTTCTAGCTCAAATTCTTTCTGCATATCTTATCCAGCCAAACTTACCTCTATCACTCTATCACTTCCTTTTAAAAAAATAAAATTACAGTACAGTAGAGATTTCTTTTTTAATGGGGAAAATTATAAAAGCTGAAATGTGAGGGAATAATCTAAGATTATGAGTTGGATTGATTGAAGGCAAATGCATTAGTCATACTTTTTATACTCTATAAAGTACCATTTTCCATTTATTTATTTGTCAGTTCTGGGGATGGAACCCTGGGCCTTGTACACGCAAGGAAAGCACTCAGCTATACCCTCAGCAACTATATATATATATATATATATATATATATATGTATGCTCTACTACTTGATCCACAGCTCCATCTTGACTTTTGGGCAGTTAATTGAAGATAAGAGTTTCAGAACTTTCCTGTCTGGGCTGACTTCGAACTGTGATCCTCAAATCTCAGCCTCCTGAGTAGTTAGGATTATAGGGTGAACCACTTGAGTAACTCTTTTTATAAATTCATTCAACTAGATATAAGAACAATTATGATAAATATCCTAAGAAATTCTCAAGTATTCTCAGAGAAACTTCAAGATCTTTTCCATTGGATATGATGAAATAAATAAATTTTAAATTATGTGAGATAAAATAAAAATAAAATAATTATCATAAAATTCTGCGTACACAGTGTTATCCATAAAATTTCTGCTACAGAACATTGCTCCTGACTCAAGTGAACTATTTTTTTCTGAACTACTCCTGATTGTAGCTTTGGTAAAATTGTCACTTCATCAGAATAAGAAACTCTGCTTTCCACCCTTCCATAGAAGGGAAGGAGTCTGCTGAAATCTACATGTAGAACTCTACCAGTTATGGGCTTGGAGACACTTTTCAGGGATTTAGACCCTCAACTTAAGGATCTAAAAGGTCATTGTCATTCTTTAGGTTTTATACTTCCTAGTTAAAATCACTTAATCTAACTTGATCTGTCTTTAATCAACTTCAGATGTAGAATATACTTACCACAGGTAACTCAAATTCATTCTCTTGATCCATTCAATTCCATTTGTCTGAAGGCAATGAGAATAATAGTTTTTCCCATTTCCAGTGTTAATGGACAATATTTTTTCCTTTACTTCCCTGGGAGGATATTAAGTATTTTGTTAGAGATTGGAGAGACTATTAATTTCCTAGGAATATGTAAAATATTCTGTCAGAGGTAAAGAAAAACTCAAGTTATATATTTCTAGTTTTAAGTCACTTTATTCATTCAAAGAATATAAGATGTTCAGTTGCTCAACAATTTGGGCTGGCTAAAATGGTAGGCTCGAATTAAACAAATCTCTCATTTATACTAATTTATGCTGCATAGCTCTTTCTTAAATAGCAGAGACTAAAAAATAAACATTTTATTGTCTTACGCTTCTTCATGAGGCTTGGCTAGTTAAATGAACATAAATTATCCATCTCTTCATTACCCAAAGTACCTTAGAAATAAATAATGCAGGTGTTGTGTCTTTGAAATAATTTGTTCACTATAGAACGTACATCTAACACCCTCCCTCTGCATTTGATTGCAGACGAGGTGTGTTCCCTATACCAGTGTATAATTCATAAGTATTGCTTAACAGAGGCTTTGACGCAGTTGAGATCGAATGCGGTTTCACGAGCTCCCAATGAAAATGCTCTCCTCCAGGCAGGTGCCCCTGTGTCACAAACCCCATTCGTGTCTGTGCTTGCCCACTGTGCAAACCCCACCACCACTGGGCACCTTATTCACACCGTGGTTTGTCTAACGTCTGCTTCTGTCTGCTCGTTTCTATGAAAGCCTAGATGACTTGCTCAGGTGCGGCGTCAGCTTTGCTGCCAACATGGTGGTGGTGGACAAGGAGAGCACCATGAGCGCCGAGGAGGACTACATGGCGGACGCCAAGACCATCGTGAACGTGCAGACCCTTTTCAGGTGCGTGTGAGGGACCCCGCCCTAAGCACAGGCTCGGGACTGGCCTTCTGAGATCTCAGGGGAGAGCAAAGGGCTTCTTCTCAGAAGAAACACGGAGGCCGAGCTCTAAAGAGAAGGAAAATGGCACGTCCACCTCCTCAGATCACTTCATCCCCACACATGGGGTCCCGAGGCCATGATTAAACACCGGCCTGTCTCTGCACACGATGTCACGACCCAAGGTCATGATTAAACACGGGCCTGTCTCTGCACACAATGTCACCAGCCACGTAAGATGCTCCGAGCAGCTCATTTGTCCCGGTGAAGTGCAAACTCCTAACCATACCCTCACTGTTTGCTTGTCTTTCCTTCACTAAATGCACTCAGATAATGAAGCTCTGGGGTTATGGTTGAGGATATGCAGACATTCCTTGTTCTCAGCAAACTCAGAGGTGGCTAGAAATCAAAAGGTCTGTGATCCTGGAGATGATTCTCTGTAGAAGCATTTAGAACCTTATTTATCAGGAAGATCCCTATTTCAATTTTATAAATAGGCTTTCTACCAGCTTACTGGAAATAGGAGAGACATTGCTCCAGAAGGTCTTAGCCTTCTGTTATGTGAGACTGGCTTGCTTTTTATATTCAGAGATTAACAATTTAGCATTCAACCTTTAAAGATTATTCATGCTTTCCCCCGCCAAAAGCCCTGCCCTTAGTGAAATAGTGATTATGACTTTACAGGACACAGGCATGGAAAATATAGAGATAAATTATTTTCAGTTTGGGTATCCCATAGTTTATATATATTTTGAGAAATGCAGTGGAAACTGTATAGTCACCCCCATTTAACATCTTTATTTGCCTCCATCTTGTCTTTATGCTCCGACAGAGTCCACTTTCCTTTCCTATCTTTTCCTTGTGTGTGAATATTGCTTGTATAAAGGGTTATCATCATGATATTCTAACTGGTATTCTATCTTTTAGTCAGATTAATGACTGTTGGGCTTGCATACATATTTTCTCTCAGAAACCTTGCAATTCTTCACTCTTGTTTAGGTCCCTTTGAACATTTCTATTGCTCATGAATACATCTGGCCCATTGGCTTTGTGTGAGATGATGCTACTTTTTATTTTAGCATCCTAAAAGGCTGGAAAATTATTTGATCTCCTGTCATTTGGAGTGGATTACTTTGACATGCATTGAATTGATTACTTTGACCTGAATTCCATTTTGATAGGAACTATTAGGCTTTTACATTCCAAGTTTCAAAGCTAATAGGTCAGATTCATTTTCAGAAAACACTTTTGCCTAGAGCTATGTCTGATGGAGATGTAATTCAAGGATACACTGGTAGTAGAAATGTTCTGACTTGCAATGTCTTCATGAACCATATGCTCAAATAAGGTTCAGTTTCTTGTTCAGAATATGCAGCACTTGAATTCCTAACTTGGTGATTTGCTGAGACATATAACCGTATTTATTAGATCTCTTTTTTCCCTTCAGATCATCCAAAGACGCTTTATGGTTATTCAGTTCGAAAGGGCCCTGAACTGAAGGCTATCATTAATTTACTAGGAGTATGTATATGTTTGTTGGGAAGGGAAATGGTCACAGTAGGAGAGCAGTAACAGCATGTGGAGAATTATTTTCCAACTCTAATGAGCATGGCTCTGCCATTGAAGACTGGAGCATACAATGTGATATGCTTTCATTATATGGAGGAAGAAAAAGTCATTTCCCCTCTATTCTTCTGCATTTTCACTGGGACTCTTGTAACAAGTTAGTAAAGCAGATGAACAAAATCAAGAGGACAGATTAACAAAAGAGAAAGGAACAAGATTATTAGTCTGTGTGCCACTCAGGTAACCGTCTGGAGGCTTCTGGAAAGAACAGGCTTAGGTTTGGTCTTACTAGGATCTCAGTGGAGAGCAGTAGACTAGGAATATCCTGGAAAAATGAAAGGACTGCATTTCCAGTGGTGGCAGATTGGAGTAAGGGAAATCTGGAAAAAACTATTTGCAAGTAGAGGTTACTTAGTAGTAAACATTGTAAAATCCCTCTTTGGTCATTTCCAAGTAAACAAGGTTGATGGACATATTTGTCCTGTGTTTAGGCAAAGAAGTAGACGGCAGGGAAGTTTGTTTGTTTGCTTCGATATTTATTTCTTATTCTTAATTGCCCCCAAACTCAACATAACCCTTAAGCTAAAGTAGCAAATTTGGGTTGGCAAATTCTGCTGTTCTTCAGTTGGCCGTGATAGTTTTCTCTTTCTTTGAGAGGAGGTAAGCCATTCTTCCAGGTGATTTATCAATAGAGCCTCTTCTGCAGCATTCAAAGTCTAGACTATAGTCTCTGAAATGATAATGCTTGAGAAGAAGTCATCCTGAAAATCGTGCCAGGGTGGCTGGCCGGCCAGCCACAATGCGCTCTCATTAGAACAAACCCAGAGCTGTACTTGTTCAGTCAGTACCATGCTTTGTGAATGCTCTTCACATTGAGTTTTCCTTTATTGGCAGAGAACTACCTTGGATACGTTTCTCCAGAGGGTCTATATTCCTTGGAATGGAGTAGCCAGTTCCTTTTCTGGGAAGCCTCATGATGAATTCTAAGCAATCCTGCATCCTCTCCTCCGAGATCATTTCTGAATACCGAAAGCATTAAGATCACGTCTTTGTCCTGTCAAATACACTGACACCTTCCTCTCTCTAGTGTCTGAGGCCTTCCATTTACACATCTAAGAGGGAAGACTGAAGTTATTTTTGCCAGTACAAAGTTTGACCAGAGAGTGCAGTTTTTATTTCTATAGTGAAAACAAAGGAGATCCTGGCCTTGAAATTTAAATTTAAATGGCCAACGTTTTATCTAGCCTCATACTCAGTACCTTCGGAGAAATTCCATACTTCTATACACTTATGAACAAGTGTTACTACCTAAACTAAACTTAAATAAGCACCTCAAAGCATACTTAGATTTACAATACTCATCTCAACATGGCCATGATATTGTAGCTGGTCAAATTCCACTCCTTCCTTTGGCAATATTCAGGTATCAGTGGAATTTATCCCTTTTCTTGCTTTACTGAGGAATTTGATCCTTAGTCTTAACCCATACAGAAAAATTAAAAAGAAAATAAAAGTCAGTTTAAAATTTATAGCCTCACTGTTGGGAGAAGACGAGGTGAGAAAGTTTTGTTTAAGCAGCCAATAGGAAAAGTCTTGTCTGGTGAGCACACAGGAAAACGTTCAGTGCAGAGTAAGTACAAAGACGGATTGATTTCAATTTGCATGTAAAAGCCCAGGAGAGATTCCCTTTAGAAGTTCTTTGAAAAATGACTTTGTTCTGATATGCATTTTTCCTAAATGTCTGTTTTTGTTTTGTTTTCTGAAAATTAGCTAACTAGTCTTGTAAGGTAATGAGTAACGGCACTGGACATTTTCATACACTCCGTGGGTCTGTGCTATGAGTGAAATCGTGCAGTTTCTACCTTTCTCCGTCGCCGCTGTGACTGCCCCCTGCAGTCATTATTTATGAATGTCCAGTGCTTAGCCCACACATTTATTAGGCATCTTGTAAATGTTGAGACTATACGGGGCTCAATCAAGCCAGCCTTGCCCTGAGTCCTGTATGCTGAGAGTTTGCTGGAAAGACAATTCAAAACTGAACTGAAGAGATCGGCCATTGCTGGGTTGCGGGGGCGGGGGGGGGGGGAGGCCGGGCACGGTGGGCTGGGGAGTAGGTCATTATATAACCCAGGTGAAAAAGATACTCAGGCAAATCCTCCCAGAAGAACTGATCATCTTTGACTTGAAAGGTGAATAGAAGCTACATGAGCCAAGAGATAAGCAGAGCATCGCAGGGGGCCCTGTGCATACTACAGGCAGCTCTCAGGTGCTAAGACTGTAGACTACAGACCAAATGGAAGACTGGTGTGACTATAGGTAGATGACGGAGCATCCAGAAGCCCAAGTAGTTATGGTTTTGTCGAGTATGTTAATGCATGGACTTGTTCTTCAAGCTTCATAAGAAATTTTTGCAAGATAAGATGACATTAGGTGCTTTTGGAGAGAGTGGATGAGATCAGCCGAGCAAACAGTCTAAGATAATCTTGCAGCTGGGTGTTTGTGAGACACGCCTGTAATCCTGGCTACTCAGGAAGCTGAGAGTTGAGGACCACAGTTCAAAGCCAGCCAGAGCAGAAAAGTCTATGAGACTCCAATCTTAATCTCCAAAAAGCCAGAAGTGGAGCTGTGGCTCAAGCGGTAGAATGCCAGCCTAGAGTAAATGCAGTTCAGAGAAATCACTCAGGCCCTGAGTTCAAGACCCAGGACCCAGGACCCAGCAGATATACACACACTTGCAAGTAGTTTCAGGTCTCTTGCTAACCCATGAAGTATGCATAATAAATACATTAGTTTTCCATCACTTGGACAAAACGTCCCAGAGAAACAAAACAGGAAAAGTGCTATTTTGACTCATAGTTCCCAAGGTTTTAGTTGACGGCCAAGGGCCAGTCTGCCCTGGGCCTGTGAACAGCAGGACATCATGCCAGGGGAAACAGATCTGTTGTCATCATGCAGTCTGAAACCAAAGAGGAGGAGAGAGCCTGATTCCCCTTCAAGGGCATCTCCTCTGCCACCGAACTTCCCCCAAGCAGACAGTGAGACATTTCCTACTTCCCAGGGCGTAGGACCATCAGCTAGTGCCTTCTGTGCATGAGCACTGAGGGCCATTCCTGACTCATGTCATATTCACCAGCTTTTTGTCTTTCTATTGATCAAGGTAACTGAACATATCAGAAATATCTCTCAAATAAATAGCAGCCACAGAAAACGATTTCATATATATATATATATATATATACACACACACACACACATATATATTTGCATCCTCACAGTTATACTTAACCAGAAGTTAAAGTAGTTGAAGAAAAGTTTTAAATAGAACAAATTGTATTATTGTATTATGATTATATTATGATCTTAGTACGTGGGGAGGGCAGGGTTTGCTCTATCATTTTATTCATTTTTTATTCTATATTCAAAGTGTATTTAGCAACTTTCAAGTCCCAGAAATAGATATCATGTATTATAACTTAGAAGATGCATAATTAAGTGTATTAGGTCAACAAATATAAAATTTTGCAATTGAACATAAGTAATGCCTTATAGAAAAAAGACACTATTTTATTTCTAAGTATTATTGCAATCTAAAATTTCACTAGATGGCAGACTTTGCTAATATACTGAATTTCCTATTTTGAAACAATACCAGTGATTTAGGTTCATCAATGTACAATAGACATGTCAGATAGCCATACAAATTTTGCTATACGATCTAATTTTAACTCTAGAAATTTCTCCAATACAATAAAACTTAGTCACTCAATTTTCTTTTATTCTTTCTCACTAATACTTCATATATATGAACTTTATATATACACACACACATGTACATATCATGCATTTCTATTCAATATAATTTGTTAGAGATAATGAATGTAAGCAAAAGAATCCATAGAGACACAAAAGTTTATAGCTGTGTGCATCTAAGCTTCTTTCCTGGCTAAGGTTTTCCTCACAGGATGTCTGCTCAGTTATACCTGAATGCCACTTACACTGGAAGCATTCTATCAGCCACACCATCTATTGGCACTAGAACAGAGATTGTCTTACAATTTGTGAATATTACTGTTTCCTATATAAGTTCATAGACTGTTAAGGCATAGAATCATACCCTTTATGTGTAGCTATCTCCTGAAGACTCAGACTTCCTAATAGTAAGCACATTAGCTTTAGATATTACTTGTATAATAATAAATTTACCTTTAAATAAGATATTAAATATTACCCTCCAAAACACAAATTTCAATGGCACAGTCAATGACCTATGGCAAAGTCAAATGAAGAGACAGAGCTGATGTTATAGAAATGGATTTGATTTGATTTTTGATTTGTAATATACACCCCCTGTAACATGTTGCTAGATATTCTTAATAACTTGTTATTGTATTTGGGTCATGTGAGTTTTTTTTCCAGTGGTCAATACATGAGGTGAAATGTCAGTGGAATTATTTCATCTTAGAAATTCATGGTAGCAAGCTTTGATCTTTAAAAAAAATGCATTCATTAGGCCAGGCATGATGGCTTGTGCCTCTAATTTCAGCTACCCAGGAGTCAGTAAAATGGTGGTTAAGCAGGGTGCTGGTGCTTTACACCTGTAATCCTAGCTAATCAGAAGACTGAGATCTGAGGATCGTGGTTCCAAGCTAGCCTGGGCAAGGAAAGTCCGTGGGACTTATCTCCAGTTAACCACCAGAGCTGTGGCTCAAATGGTAGAGTGTTAACCTTGAGCTGCTCAGGGACAGCACTGAGGCCCAGAGTGCAAGCCCCATGACCAACAAAAAGAAAGAAAGAAAGAAGAAAAGATGGTTAAAATATTTTTTGGATATAATGTTTTATTTTCCTTGTATTATACATAATGAGGCACTTCTTATTGTTGTAATTGGATATTACTTTTAGGCCTTCACCTAGAATTCACTAACCCAAATACACTGTAATAGAAAGTGCCATGTTGGATTGTTTGTAGAACCCATTTTTTTTTCTCCTGAAAATAGGTTGTTTTCTAGCCTCAGTATCATCACCGAGCTTACTCACCCGGCCAACATGAGGTTCATGCAGTTCAGAGCCAAAGACTGTTACTCTCTTGCTCTTTCAAAACTGGAAAAGGTAAGACCCTCATTATGGAAGTTGGAATGAACTATTTTTGTTCAATGGGCAATTAAAAATATCGATATATGCAAAGAAATGCCAAGACATAGCAAAAACAAGCATGCTATTTCAAATTCCTCTCTATAGAATAAAATCCTAGCTTACTGTTATTATTTTTTCTATTATTTTTAGGTAGTTGTACAAAGGAGTTTCCACTTAACAAAGTAGTTTATAAATACAATATATCTTGATCATCAACATCTCATCCAGCCTTCACCTACTCTGCTTCATTTTCTGTGATATACATTCAATTCTTGTCTACATTTCTCCCCTCTTCTCTTTTTCTTTTGTCTATTTCTTTTCCCTTGACCCCACCCCACCCCTTTTCAGCACCCACTTCCTACTGTTCTATTTTCTGAACTTTGATTTTGACTTTCTAAGAAATGACAGTATTTGAGATCTGCCTTGAGTCTACCCTATTTGAAAACAATGAATCAATACATTTGATTCCATTTGCCTTGCAAGTAAAAATGGGAGAAATATTTTGTTCTATTACCACTAATTACAATTTTACAACATAATTTCTGGAAGTACAGCAGAAGCTTGTATGCTCACATATAACATCAGCTGTGTTGATAAATACAAGTGATTCCACTCCTTCCTGAGGTCTATATTTATATAGTTTTGTGGTTTCCAAAAAGTCTCGAGGATCTTAAAAGACAGACAGGGCTTTGTTGAAAACTAACTTCCAAAATGATACTGACATGGGTTGAGAGAAAGTCAGGAAAGAAATTGACTGGAAATTTGATTTAACAACAATAAATCATGTATTAATCTAGAATTAGGATTTTTGTCATGAAGAATATTTTTTGGGCTAACATATTCAGTTTGTTGTTGTTGAATCGTGAAAGATCCAGGCTGGTTTTGAACTCATGAGTTTTCTACATCAGCTTTCCAAGTTCTCGCATTGCATGCATGCTGTAGCATACCTTTCTATACTCTTAAAAGTTGAATTATGCACCCAATTCACCACAAAGACAAAAAACAAATAAACAGAATAGACATGTTGTGGAGCCAGAGGGAAATACCTAACACATGCACCAGTTAGAGTCCTCATAAAGGAGCTAGCCTGCCAGCACTTGCCATTCAGGTTTGTAGCCATTAGAAACACTCACATTTTCTTCTGACCTTTATTTCATCATTGTCTAGTTTTTGCTGATCTAGTTTTTCCACGATCCTCTTCCTGTCCCCTCCAGTGCTATCATTGTTCTTTCCCTGTTTTCCATATTTGAAACCCAGAAATCCACTGTACTTCTCCCATTCCCCAGCCATGTGGGCACAACAAAGAATGAGCAACATAGTGTGACAGCTACATAGAGCAGGAGAAGGTGAATGGAAATAAAGACATGTAGAAGAGAAAGACAAATGAGTGGAAGCTCTCATTTCCCTTTACAGGTCTATTTTATTTCTCTTATGTTCATGGTGGTTAAAAATATTTTCTATGGATGCTATGTATGAACAGCATTTGCTTCAAGACCTCTTCCTTTAAAATCGCTTTGAACTTTATCCATCCCCAGCAATGATTGTAATTACTCTTCACAATCATGATAATGACACCCTGATGTAAGAAGCAAAGTGATGAAAATGTAGGATAACTGGAGTGGTGTATTTTGTCTTTGCCCCTGGATCCTGGTTCTGAGCTTTAAATTCATTAGCCTTGTAGATTTAAAGACATATTTTAGCTACCATGAATGAGGGAAACCATGTAACCTATGTTTTTCTTGGTCTGGCTAACTTCAATTAATATAATGTTTCCCAAGTCTTTTTATTTTCTTATGAATAGTACAATATCATTCTTTTTGATGGATGAATGAAATTCCATTGTGTATAACCATTTGTCCATGGAGGGGCATCTGGGCCGATTCTATATCATGGCAATGGTAAATAATGCTTCAGTGAACATGGTTGTGCTGGTATCTTTAGTGTGGCCTAAGTTTAGGCTCTAGGAAACTATTGAGTCCAGTTATTTGTCTTATGGCTTAAGTAATCATACTTATAAAATCGAACCTTCAAAAAGTGCTTAAAAGTGAGGCTTTTTAGGGGTTTTCTGGTCAGTAAATGTGCTGGCAGACCCTGCCTCAACTTTCCCGATAGTTCTCATCATTTCTGTCTCATAGGACCGCCTACAATCAGATTGCAGTCACTTAGTACAGAACCTTCATGAGTCCTGACCACTGTTTCAGAGCTTTATCTCGCATGAGGGGCTCACAGGAGCTCCCATTTATAGCCATTGTCCTGGAAACAGCTGATGGCAGAGCCGGATCAGCGCTGTGAGCCACAGCTCTTAACTTGTGCTGTCTGCACCAGATCCAGGCCAGTAGTGTCAGACACAAATTCCATCGTGAGATTTAATCATGGCATTGTTCTCATCAACATGTCAATCCTCAGGCAGTTCCAGGTGGCTCACACCTGCAATCCTAGCTACTCAGGAGGCTGAGATCTGAGGATTGGGGTTCAAAGACAGCCCAGGCAGGGAAGTCTGTGAGACTCTTATCTCCAATGAACCACTCAGGAAAAGCCAGAAATGGGATTGTGGCTCAAGTGGTCGAGCACCAGCCTTGAGCAAAAAGCAGCTCAGGGGTAGTGCCAGGCCCTGTCAATGCTCTCACTTCAGGTAGGCTGAAATCACAATGAAAACTATTGTGAGTATAAGTTACCTGCTATTTATTTTTAGCATGTTTATTATGAAAAAAAGATAAAAGGTTGATACAGTGTATGTGAAATTCAACTGAATGTGTATTTGTACACTCTGGTTGAGCCAAATGCCTGACTAATTAGTAGGAATTGCAAAATTGAATAAAGCACATAGAATTTATAATTTGATGGGTGACACAAATACAAATGAAAGCACATTATCTTACTTAGATAACAGCATATCAGTGAAGCTCAATAAAGTTATGGAAACTACACCCATGCATTATATGAAAGTATATGAGTGTATGTATATGTATATGTATATGTACAGGACATGTATATGTGTGTGTATGTGCAGATATATGTTTAAAAGTTAAGCATTTTGATGGATTAAATATAAAGCCTTAAGGAAAAATTACAATTTAAAGATAGGACCCACAATGAAACTATTTAGCTGAGAGTTTTATCTAGAGGTTGATATAGAAGACTCTTGGAAAAAGTAGAATCAGAGAAATGAGTAAGAAATCAAGTTGTCTGGAAGCTGAGATAGATTTATATAAGAAGAACGATACTTGTACAGTTAGAATAGGTTTTTTTTTCCCAAACACTGAAATGAAAGTTCCACAGCATGAAGCAGAGGAAAGCCAGTAGAGTTAGGAGAATACATTATGATTATGTCCAGAAAGAAAAATTATACTGTGCCGATTAAACGTTTTATTTGTTTCCCTCCCACACTGTTCTGTTGCATCCAATCATTTCATCATCTCATTCCATATGGTGCTGGGTGGACATAGATTGCCAGGAACAAAATATCTGCCAGAAGCAATTTTTCCCTCTCAGGAAGATACATATTTATGATAGAAAACTAAATAGAAAAGATTGGTAAGACCTAATAAATTAAAATGTCTGAAATCTGGTCCTTTAAATATCTCTGAATTCTTTTAGCTATTTTAGAAATGATTATTGAGAAGCCACAGAGTCATTACTGAAACTTCCTTTGAATGCAGAATTCTGTTATGATGAAATATTATATACATTGGGTCTGGGATCAAAGCTAGGGCTTTGTGTATGCTGAGCTGGTAATGTGTTCAAGAGTAGTATTTCCAGCCCAGAAATAAGATTTATTTATTTATTTGTTAGTGCTGGTCCTGGGCTCAGACTCAGAACTTTTGTGCTCAAGCCAGCACTCTAGCACTTGAGCCATTGCTCCAATTCTGACATTTTGGTGGTTTATTGGAGATAAGAGTATCATGGACTTTCCTACCCTGTCTTTCAGCTGGGATCTTCAGATCTCAGCCTCCTGAGTAGCTAGAATTACAGGTGTAAGCCACCAGTACCCAGTAGGAAAAATGTTTTGAAAAAGAAATTATAGTAGCCAGTATCTACCTACTTGGGATACTGAAATCTGACAATCACTATTCAAAGCTAAGTTGGGCAGAAAAGTCATGACACTCTTCTCTCCTTTAACACCAAAAACCTGGAAGCAGGGATGGCTCAATTGGTAGAATGTCAGTCTTGAGGTAAAAAGCCAACACTTGACCCAAGTCCAGAACTCAACATCCAACCCTTTATATATTGTTTATACTTTTTTTTTCCAGTAATGGGGATAGAACACTGGGCCTGGGTACTTTGCCTCAGCAATTCATCTCAAGGCTAGCATTCTGTCACTTGAGCCACAGTGCCACTTCCGGCTTTTTCTGCTTATGCGGTTCTGAGAAATTGAACCCAGGGCCTTATGTATGCAAGGCAAGCACTCTACCACAGAGCCACCTTCCCATCCATGTTTATACTTTTAATATGTGGATATTTCCATTTACATTGAAAGTCAGATCCAAATCTTAACCTTTTCTTTTAGGGGACAGTAAATATGTTATATAATATTATTGAATGTAATATATGTGTACATCAGTGGATAATAAAGAATAGTCTAGATTTTAGTTAATTTTTAAACTAGAGGACAAACACTGGTTTTAACAAACAAAAACCACAAAAAATTAAACATAGAACTACCTTATGAACCAGCAGTTCCCCGCCTGGGCATTTACCCAAATGATTACAAACCAAGATACAGTAAAGCCACAAGCACAACCATGTTCATTGCAGCACTATTTCCATAGCCAAGGTATGGAATCAGCTCAGATGTCCCTCCGTGGGCGAGTGGATGAAGAAAATGTGGTATATAAATACAATGGAGTTTTACTCATCCCTGGGAAAGAATGATACTGTACCATTTGTAAAGAAATGGAAAGAACTGGAAAAATTATGTTAAGTGAAGTAAATCGGATCCAAAGAGACAAAGGATCCATATTTTCCCTAATATGTGGAAACCAGCTTTCACTGATAAACTCATAAATACATTGTGTGAGAGTGTGTAGAAATGCATTAACTGAAATCTAGTAGACTCAAGGGAGAACTCAAATAGTATAATACATAGAAGGGCAAAGACAAACTTTAACGTAATACACACCAGGAAACAGGCACTTGACAGGAGTAGGTACTTGAAGAGGAGAAGGTGATAAGAATTCAGGCAAGAATTCAAAGCATATCCTATAAAATTAAGAAGCATGAGGGAAGGGGAGAAGAGGGATGGGTGAGAATGTTGAAAGAGGAGACAAAGATCAAGGTACACTGTATTCATAAACTGCTTTTTTTAAATGGCAACTCCTTTGTACAACTACTTAAAGATAATAAAAATATTAAAGAAATGTATTTGTCAGAATAATCTGAGATAATCTGAGGGAAAGACACACTGTGAACCAAAGACCCTGTAGGGGTTTCAGCATTTCAGACACAAAGTTAAATCTTTCCATGAAGAAACCATCTGCCCTTTAAGAATGTCCTCTAAGAAGATCAGGAGAGTCCGATCATAGCACAAACAGAACTGGACTTGGACACACGAGCAAGAAATGACATTATCAAAATTTCAGTGAGATCAACTGGCGATATAATGGAGAATGACTTGACAGAGTTCAGGGTGGGAAGTTGATTGTAAATCTGAGCCTCAGTCAGTGGTCATGCAGTAGAATGTTGAAAATGGAGCTGCTGTGAGTTAATTGGATGGATGAGTGATGGAAACGAGGTATTTACTGGGTAGTAAGGGGGTCAGAGGTGCTTGTATTGCCTTGTTCCTTATTTTTAACCCTGATTGACTACTTACAGTTTATCCTAGTAAAACATGAGGTGAAGCTTACAATGATGATGGTCATTATTGAGTTAGAGGAAGAGATGAAGCCTAATGTTGGCCAGACAGTAGAAGACTCTACGGGAAAATCTGAATGTCAGGATACATTCTGTTGCATTAGTTTTTTTAAATGATTGCTTTACTTTTGTTGGGTTTCTTTTATTTCACTGCTATATCAATTATAGATTTCTAATGTATGAAAGGGCCTATCGTCCAATGACTTGGTGCTTCAGTTGACATTTCAGACTTAATTCTTACGTGAAGGAAAGTAGTATACTCACAAAAGTTTTCACCCTCAAATCTCTGGACAGAAAGAGCGGGAAAGAGGGTCGAACTTGGCCTTTATGTTTCGCCTGCCTTTTGCTGCCGGAAGAGTATTTAGCATCAGTATGTTGGATACCCTTCTTTACCAGGTATGTGATCCTTTTTTGTTTTTTCTTTTCCTCTCCAAAATGTCTATTTTATATCTCATGCAAATAAGTATTAAATAATAGTGACATTTTAAACCCCTGACTTAAACCTGGGCTGAAGTAATTCGATTTTGACACATTTTTATATTACTCTAAGTATGTTGTTGAGACTTTGAAAGAATTAAAACAACACAACCAATGGAAAAGAAAAGCCCAGAGCACTTATAGAATACATTTCCAGCCCCTGTTTGAAAACAAACAACTCTTTGCTAGTAAACTGTCAAACTAGGGATTCCTTAAACATCTGATCATTATTGCTTACTTTAGAAAAATCAGAACAAGATTTTATAATGGCAGACCGTTTAGTTTGCTCCTGATGCCTAGTTAGATTGTCACTTTATCATAGCTAAGGGATTTATAAAAATGTTTTGTACATACATATGATCTTTTATTGTTTCTTCCAACCATTGAACCACAGCCATCTTTCTTTTTTTTGATTAAAGTCATCACACAATCTCCAAATATTTCTAGTAAAAAGGAAAAAAATCTTTGTAGGGCTTTAAATTATTTTATAGCTTGAATCTCAAATTAAGCACATACGCAGTTCATTGCCCATATTCTATTTTATTATCTGTTTATATGCACTCTTCTGTAATTGCTTGATTGAAAAACCCACTCCACAGACAGCCAAGCTCGTCTGCTGGCTTCAGGCTTTATGCCCAAGTGCTTCCCTAGCAAAGCCAGGGGCCATCTGTCTAGGCAGATGAATGCCAGAGCATACTCTTCAAGGGAGAGCAAGCACTCCGCTGTGTCTGTGTCCAGACGTTTTATCTCTGGACTCCAGGAGGTGGGGCAGCCACCTCGCACACCACCACCACCACACACACTTAGACGGCGACATGGGAGGGCTTGATGGAAGGGAAGTTTGAAACTGAAGATTTCATAGCAATATCAAACAAATGATTGGATCTTATTTGAAACCATTGGCTCTCCTACTCTTTAGCTCAATAGCTTAGCACATTTAGAAAGGTTCAGAGCTGGGTACCAGTGGCTCCAGCTTGTAATCCTAAATACTCAGGAGGCTGAGGGCTGAAGATGAGTGTTCAAAACCAGCCTGAGCAGGAAAGTCTGTGAGACATCTCCAATAAACCACCCAAAACCTGGAAGTAGAGGTATTCAAGTGGTAGAGTGCTAGCCTTGAGAGCAAAAGCTCAGGAACAGTGGCCAGACCCTGAATTCAAGCTGCAGGGCAACTACTGAAAACAAAAGAAGGGGAGAAAGAAAGAAAGAAAGAAAGGAAGAAAGAAAGAAAGAAAGGAAGGAAGGAAGGAAGGGAAAGAAAAAGAGAAAGAAAGGAAAGAAAGAAAGAATGAGAGAAAGAAAGAAAGAAAGAGAGAAAGAAAGGGAGGGAGGGAGGGAGAGAGGGAGGGAGGGAAGGAAGGAAGGAAGGAAGAGAGGGAAGGATGGAGGGAAGGGAGAAAGGAAGGAAGAAAAGGTTCATGTAGAAGTTATTAGAGATGGAATTTTGTAGAACTGGAAAGCAATTTTCCTGGCTCTCATTTTTGCATGTTATTTTATGTTCTGAAGCTGTGCAGAATGACTGAACTAGAACTAAGGTTTTAACGTTTTTATCATAACAGAGTGAACATTACATCTTTCATTTCAATCTAGTACATACTGTGAGTGTATATGTATGTGTGCCTTGATGTATATAAATGAGAGAAAAAAAATCTCACATGGCAATTATAATTTTCTACATTTTTTTATTTCTTATGAAATCTTTTGAACTCACTGTCCAACCAGAAGGCTTTAGAATGAGTAAACCTAGAGAAAAGACTTCTCTTCAACCTGGGTGTTAGCAGGCTATTCATGGCTCTTGAACTCTTGGAAAAGCTTTATTTTGTTTTGTATTTTTGGACACTTAATTGCATTGCACAAAATATGCAGGTGACATCCTTCTAAGCTCCATTCCTACCCCTGGGGTTGATCTTGTTGCTATTGTTTGCTTTGTTTCCTTGGAGACTTCCTGTCTGTATGTACTGCAGGCTGGCCTACCCCAGTCTTTCAATGGCTGTGATGACAGGGAGACACCACCATATCCAGCTCATGAGGCTATTTTTTTACTCATGCTCTTTGTAGTATCTTCCTAATAGTGTAATCCTTTTGTCCATAAGTATTCTAGATTTTGAATATTCCAGTAGAGGTGGGGATGGGGAGAAAGAGGAACCCTACTGCACTGCTGGTGGGAATGTAAACTAGTACAACCACTCTGGAAAGCAGTCTGGAGGTTCCTCAGAAAACTAAACATAGACCCTCCCTATGACCCAGCCGTACCACTCCTAGGCTTCTACCCTGAGTATCATAAATCAGGATATGATCAGGACACCTGCACACCCATGTTCCTTGCTGTACTATTCACAGTAGTCAAGATACAGAAATCACCCAGATACCCCAAAATAGATGAGTGGATCCAAAAATGTGGTATCTATACAGAATGGAATTTTATACAGCCATTAGAAAGAATAAAATGATGCCATTTGCAGCAAAATGGATGGAACTAGAACAAATCATGGTAAAGAGCCAAGAGCAGAGAGAAATGGCACATGCTTTCCCTGATAGGCAGAAATTAGATCTAAAATGTAATGGGACATGACAATATGCACAAAGTTCTAGATACTCACATACAGTGAGACCAGAAGAGGATGATCCAAATCACAAAGACATAATGCCCAGACACCTCTTCATATGTATATAACATAAGATACTTATTTTATACACACCGAAACACACTGATACACACTGAAACAAACTCCAAAGATATGGAAACAAAGTTTTTTCTTTAAAAATAACAAAAAAAAACAATATTCTAAGAGGAGAGACACTGTTATTTCAGACAAATTAGGAAGATTCTGTTTTTCTTTTGCTTATATATAAGCTTACTTAGGGGAAAGAATATGTGTAATAAATGAAAAACGAAATACAAAAATTTGTTTTACTAGAAGACTGCTTAACCCTGAAAAAAAGCAAAACACCATCTGAAATATGTCATTGCAAAATTTAAGACTTTTGTCAATTCACCATTTTATTTCCAATTAGAGATTTTGAATTATGTCTGCATCTGAAACATTTGTATCCTGCCTAGTAGCACACACAAAGGTCAGTCATGTTGAGAGATTTCTAAATCATAATTGCATCCTGTATTTCCTTATGATTGATTTAACTGTACACATTTAGTTGGGATGGTCACCAGGCAGATTTTTCTTTTAATCTGTACATGGGGACTTGGTAATGGGGGACAGCCTCTCAGAAGTCACTGCTGCACGGGGCAGGCATGTAATATTTCATGTATCTTCTCTTCTGTTTCAGTCCTTTGTGAAGGATTACATGATTTCGATCACCAGACTTCTACTAGGACTGGACACTATTCCTGGATCAGGATTCCTTTGCTCTGTAAGTTCATCTCAGCATTTGCTTTTTTTCTAATGAGTGTCCGAAGATTTACGCCTGACACTCTTCCATTGCAAGAGAGATTACAGAGACAACATTTTTTATTCGTAGCCATCCTAGCCAACAGCCATCCAGTACAAAATTCATAAGAAATATATTTTTAGCTGGTGATTTGAGACTCAAAAGTTCCTATGGGGGACAAATGCTTCTGGCAGTAAAACCGTGATCATGGAGTTAACTTCTCTTGTTTCATTTCTTTTGAGGTTCTTTGTTTCTCTGAGATGGGTGTGTCACTGTTGCTCAGGTTTACTTTGAATCCTGGGCTGAAGGTTAGGGAGATTCTCCAAGTGCCCAGGTCACTGTGCCAAATCAGTGCCACCGCTTTAGAGAAGACAATATTGTGTCAAAACACATGGAATACAAAGGTGCTAACAGTCTGGATTCATAAGTAGCAGCCCCCTCAATCATGGTGATCGGTACCGGCCACCATACCTAGCTTACTCCTCCTGTCTTCCAACATGAACATTAGTGGAACATCAAGATCCCTGTTTTCTTTCTTGTATTGAAGTCTGTGCACTTTTTATTTGTCACACCAGAGAACTTTGCCAGCAGCAGCCCCAGGTTATTGCAACTTGACCTTCATGCCTGCCAGCTGCCGTTCTCCTGGGGTAGACTCATAAGGGTGAGGGGAAATGTGGTACTGCCCCAAAGAGAGGAACTGCCATCTCTCCCATGTGGTCAAACTTCCAGGAGATGTCGACGTAGACTAAAATAGCAGACAGATTTAATGCACAGACAAACATTGATGAAGGATTATTCTGACATTTCAACCTGTTAAATGTACCCTGAAGGAGTGAAAACCCATCAGCAGGCCGCTACTTCATAACCACTGGCTGTATGGTGAATGATTCGTGTGTGTTTCAGATGAAAATCACGGAGGAGGATCTGTGGATCAGGACCTATGCCCGGCTCTACCAGAAGCTGTGCTCCTCCACCGGCGATGTCCCCATCGGCATCTACAGGACCGAGTCTCAGAAACTTACTGCATCTGAGGTTTGGAATTATCCGAGCGTTCTTGGTCTGGTATTTCCTCTGGTGAATATAGTTATTCATAAACTAGGAAGCTAATTCCTGAAAGATGCCACAGAAGAGGACAAAGAACATAATCTACACTGGTATCGTGAGTTCTCAGCAGATAAAAATCTTCCCAGCTCCTCTAGGAGAATGTCTTGGAATTTCACAAAACCTTGTTGGCTGAGTGACCATGCTAGTGTTTATAGCTATTAGCATCTGAATGACTCTTGTATGACCAGCACTGGCCATTTCTAGAATATTGCCAAGATCCAATTAAATCTAATTAACTTTGAAGTCTGACCCCTGAGAAAAGTTCTCAAAGTAACCTCCATTCTAGTAATTATTCTAATAAATATTCTCCAAGGACATAGATTGGCATTTGGAAGGAAGGAAAGCAAAGGAAAACTAAGTCAGTGCTGAAAGTCATGCTGTTCAGCCTTTGCATTGAAGACCACCCCTCTAAACCTGAGAGAAAGGTTATAGGATTATGTCTGTAATCCTGGCTACTCAGGTGGCTGAGATCTGATGATTATAGTTCAAGCAGGAAAAAGTCCATGAGACTCATCAGAAAACCAGAAGTGGCTCAAAGTGGTAGGGTGCTAGCCTTGAGAGACAAAGCTCAGACAGCTCCCGGGCTCTGAGTTCAAGCCCCACAACCAATAATAACAATAGTAACAACAACAACAAAACCCTGCATGAGTAGTGTAGTAGGACTTTCTAGGGGAGAATTTCATATTTTTAATAGCAAAGTGGAGCTTATGAGTATGATAGAGCTTATTGGTGATAATGAAATCTCTGAAAACAGATTTGTATTTTGATTTGGTCCCATCCTATGGTTTAAAGTAATTCTTATTTCCTTCAAACAAACCACCACCTTTTAAATTGAGTCATTTTAGGAAATAAAGATTTTAGGTAAATGTGCTATTTTACCTATATCTATAACAACATTTACCTTAAATAGTTTAGTTTGGAAATCCTTATTTTTCCTTTTATTATTTTTTCCAGGCACCCCAAAGTGATTATAAATAACAAAAACACTTAAGCTAGTTCTTCCATTTTTTGTTCTAAGTCAAAATAACCTCAATTGTCAAGCTCATCTCAATTGTATATAATTTCAGTAACCTATGTTTCAAACTATGATAAAAAATCAAATCCATGTGTCAAAAGAAGAGCCTTATAGAGAGCATAAGGTTTATAGGGTAGGCTTTGGTTTACTTCTTGAAATCTATAGCTAAAAATTAACATTGGTGGTACTTTGACCAGCAAAAATTGTTCTTTTAGTGGTTTTGTAGTATATTCTGGGATGTTAAAAGGAGCTTTTTTTAAAAAAAAATCATCTATCGTATGCATCCAAATTTTTCTTCAAATTGTGTTTTCTTTCTTTCTTTCTTTCTTTCTTTCTTTCTTTCTTTCTTTCTTTCTTTCTTTCTTTCTTTCTTTCTTTCTTTCTTTCTTTCTTTCTTTC